CTCGAGCCTCTAACAACTTAGGTCAGTGTTCTTTGTGGGATGATTTAGGGGTTTTGATTTCAAGTATTCCGCGGCTAATTCACTGCCTCCACGAGTTTAAGAGAACCTTGAATTGAATTCCTGGACCACCCTTCTCTCTCGACTCATCGCCATAACCATCATATCGTCGTTCTGCAATTTCCCGCCATCGGTGATTTTTGAATTTCCTGAACCCAGAAACTTCAACGTCAATTTGGGGTTTTTCATTCCAGGGATGTTCAGTTGGAATTGGTGATTGCTACAGCTTCGTACATCGTCCCCGGCTATTCCAACCAATAATCCCGATTTTGGCACGTCGCTGGTCGTTTTCAGAGCAATTTGGGGTCGAATTGGATCTTGTGATCCAGGTAGAATTGATGCCATTCCGCCTTCGGTGAAGCTTCCCCATGGACCAGGGATTGTGTCAGTGCCCTTGGTGAGGTTTGGATTGGCCCCCAGAGTTCCACCCAATGGACCCTCTCTCTTGCTCTGCTTAGGCGAATTACCAGAGAGTCGTTGACGTCGAGGTTTCTTCGGCCTCTTACGTCCTGTAAGCATGAACAGGCGAGCTGCAAAATTGATCTCGTTGTGCTCCTCAGCTCGTGTTCCACTAGAGTCCTCGTTTTATGCCGGAATTTGTAGCAGTTGGTTCCACCATCGTGGCAAACCCCTCAATCAAATTTTCAGGTTCGTCGCAGCAACAGGTGCGCAGCTTGCATAGGAGCTACATAAAACTGAATGTCATCTTCATACCGTCCAATTGCAAACTTGATCTTAGCCTGTTTATTGACCTTGATAGCACCGTAATCGTTAAGCCAATACAATGTGTAAGGTGCAGGGGGTTTACTTGTGCTCAGACCAAGTTTCTTGACAATATAAGAGCTTGCGACATTAGTATAGCTACCACCATCTATGACGAGGGAGAGCAGGCTTACCTTAACGCTGCATCGTGAGTGAAAGAGGTTTTCCCTCTGTTCTGAGTTCGAATGAGTCTCAATGGTGAGTGCTCTTTGATTCACGCCAATGAGATGACCTGGAGGAGGAGGAGTCTCCATTTCAAGTTCTTCATCCATCCTCGCCTGAGCCCTTCTCTTCGTCGGTGAGGTACTCGCCAGTGCAGTCAAAATCGTGCATTAAAACGTAAAAATTTAGGTTTTTACGTATCCAGGCCACCAAAACGTTTCAGTTTCTACCTAAAGTCGCTTAGTCACAAAAACTGGTAAAAACATGGGTAAAATTGATAAAATCGCTTGAAATCGGTAAAATCATGATTCTGAAGTGTTTTTATACGATTTTGATCATCTCATAAAAATGTGCTGATTGGCCCAAAATGATGTAATTTTGGAGACATATCAGCAAAAAATAAAAAAAGGAAAACATGATTCATCACTCGTTCTACAACATGTGTCGAGATAGGGACTTCACATTAGGATGAAAAGATACCTAATAGTATTCTCAACAGTTGTTGACCTTCTATCGGTCTTCTCCCTTAATCTTCACCTGTGGCTCTTACCTGGGTTATGATAAAAGTTTATGGTTAGTTGATCGTATGTAATTATGTAAACTCAAACCAGCTTATGAGAATTTGGATTCTCAAGCTCGTTTACGGGTTACGATCTACGTTTAAGAGCTTATTATTAAGATGTTATGAGTTTTCTCTACTTTTGAGTCAACACAAATTAGTTTATGTGTTAGATATTATATTTTAATTATGAATTTCATGTAGTTATTCACTTGTCTAAAATCTACACACTCACATTTTACATACTATATGTTGTACTTAACATATTTTAGCTATTTTATAGGGTGCGTCAAAAACTTACGCTTATACGCTTTGATTCTACGTTTTACGATTTTACACATTTTCCGCTTCTAGGTAGAATCGCGCTTTTAACTGCATTGGTACTCGCCATCACGGATTACTAGTGTCTTCAAATTGGGGAACTGATTTTCCTTGTGTCCCCTCCTACGACACTTAAAACACCGGATTCCTCTAGTCCTTTCCACAACAGCTGGCGCAATGCCCTTGGCTGGTGACTTTCTAGGTTCAGTTCCCACTTGGGAAGGATTGGAATCAGAAGCCTGCTTTACCATAGTTTTGCTAGTCGAAGCAAACCTTCTGCTTATGGTTTTTAGTTGTTTTTCGACCTTAATTGCCATGTGAAAGCTTCCTCCAGATCGACAAACGATCTAAGATCCACCTCATGTCGGATTTCTCAATTTACACCGTGAAAAAAAGAGCTATGGTCGCTTCCCTATCCTCTCTTACATCGGCACACATCATCAGCAACTCCAAATCCCTGAAATACTCTTCTACTGTTCGTGTACCTTGTCGAATCTGCTACAGGGATTCGTACAGTTCCCTTTGATAGTATCCAGGAACAAACCGATCTCTTAGAAGACCTCGGAGGTCTTCCCACATTGTAATTTCTGGCTGGAGGATACGTCGTCGTCGCAATCGAACTTGCTCTCACCATTGAGCAGCATAGTTCGTAAACTCGTAGGTGGCCAAGAGCACCTTCTGTTGCTCAGAATAATTTTCCAATTGAAAGAATAATATTACTTTTCGCTCCCAATCCAGGTAATGTGAGGCATTGAGAGATCCAGCGAAGGGAGGGATGGTTAGTTTGATGCCGGGAGGAATGGTAGGCTCTGCCTCTGGCCTCTGTTCCCTGTAATCACGATGATCGTGATTTGGTCGTCCATGATGGGGATCCGCAACCACCAACCTTTGCTCGATATCTTGAATTCGTGCCAATAGCTCTTGATTGGCGTCATTTTGAACTAGTTCGCCGGCCAAGCGAACTCCTGCTCGAATTGAGTCTGGAAGTACCTTTGTAAAGCTTCCAACGTCACAGGTTGTGCAGGTTGCTCGTCGCTCATGGCTTTCTGCTTCTCCTTCTTCCTCTGTTCTGGGATTAGCAGCGCAAGATCACTAGAAACAGGGCCTTTCGACTTTGTCTAGTGTATGATTCTAGTGACGACTTCTGCCGTCGTCGTTGTCTTTCGTGCCCTGCGTTTGAACCGGGCTCGTGATACCACTAGATGAGGCCCAAGATGGGTATTTAGGTTTCAGAATAGCGCAACTACAAATCGAATCGAAACAGGGGTTTGTAAGTGGATGGATAGTGGATTTCGTATAATTCCACACAACGCGGAAAGACTCGAAATAGATAAATCGAAGCCTGGCCACGATCAGCGTGAATAGTTGAATGATACAAGCACTCAAGCTGTTTAGAACTCTTCCTCAACAACTCTCAATCTCACGAAGCACAAGCTTTGTGAACCAAACTCAGGTTTGTATTCGAATCAATAATAATGAGTTTTACAATGCCATTGATCAACCTTAAATAGACCTACGTTAACTAACAGTCTTAATATGGAAAACCAATTCTCAAACAAACAAGGAAATAGAGTTCAAACAGAAAAGGGAAAACACTTTAGTCACAATCCTAGTTCGAAACGGATTCGGATTACTCCTTGCAAGACAGTCTTCTCGGCAGCTTCCATACGATCTTGCTTGCCTTCGTCGGAAGCCTTCAAGGTATGGTTTTGATCACTCAATGTCTCTACGTTGTTCTATGAGAAATGTACCTTCGTGTGGTTGCATCCTTGGAACTCGATTTCCCTCCAAACCCCTCGAACCAAGCTCCAAAACTTGGTACCCACGCTGCCTTCCAGACTTGGTGAAAATCTGACAGTTTTCCAATTTCAGCGTAGGGTTTTGAGAAGCTTAAAAATCAGTCTTCCTGGCCTTTTCTCGATCTCCCAACCATTTCCTCTTATAGAGAAACTTCCCAGCTTCACAACAAGCCTTCATTCGCCCTTTTCCATCGAGCCAAACAGAAGTTGCATACGTGCAAAGAAGGGTACCTGAAACACTTACAACACTTAGGCAAAATTCATAATTCTTGTTAGTGTTTGAGATTACTTTTCGATCAAGCAATTCAAGCTTGTTGGTTGATACAAATTGGACCATCTCACATATAGAAACTAACATACAGTAAATCATTAATAACACAAAGCCACATAACATTTAAAATGATAATTCTGGAGATTAATGGTAAAGAATTATCATTTTAATTGTTTTAATGCGTAACTCAAAATAATTCACGAGTAAGTGATAGAGCTCATTGGACCTGGCTCTTGTTTTTCATCTAGGTAGTTTAACTCAAAGTAGTACTCGAGCCCGGTTAATTTCAACATCGTATGCTAATCATGATTTAAAAACTAAGAATAAAATAACTCCAATTGAATAATTAATGTTAGTGGCTTGGTACAATAATATTCATTAATAAATTAGTTAGTTAATAATGATGTTGATTCTTACGTGCTTACAATATTAGGACAACTATTTTATCGATGATTTCAAGAGGGCGAAGGAAAAGGAATTAACCGAGCCCTAACTTGGTTTTTTTTTGTTTTCAATTTTTTTTAATAGGAAAAATATTTGAAAAGATCCCCATCATTGCCCTTTCAGCTGAAGCAGTTCCGCTTTTTTAAAATTTGCTCAAACCGCCAATTTTGTTCTCATACAATTTTAATCCTGATTTTTGTACGATTTTGACGATTTTTAATCAAGCTTTTAAACGATATTAAGGTCCATTGATTTTATAATAAATTCAAAATCGGAATCGCTAAATAAAATCCTACGATCTTACGATCAAAATCCCAGTTTTAACTACTTTGGCCCTAGCCACCGATTACTAGGTGGTGGTTTGTGTCAAATTACTAGTTAACATGGCCTTGGTGCCGAGTTCGATCATTTGATACCATCTCTCTATATTGCCGCCGCAAACCCAGAAACAAAAGAATACATATATATATTGAAAAAAGGTAATCTAAAATTTCTTCTTTTTTTAACTTGACAACATTTTTGTTAAATCAGACTATAAATGTTACTACCGTATCCACACAGATGATTACGGGTAGGGTGTTGACAGGAAATCAAAAACAGATAGATGGAGTTTAAGAAGCTTGGGGAGATTGGTAAAAAATGTAAATCTTTAATATGAGAAGCCATTGCAGAGTGTTTAGATAAAGTTAGTAGAGAAACCCTCAACATAGTTTGCTAAAAGGGTTTGTCAGAAGATCTATTGCAGGCCTGTACACAACAAAACACAAACAAATACAAACCCTCCCATCCAACGAGCGGAAGCTATAGTCAAATTACAATGAATTCAAGTGCTGGAGGAGCTCTTGATTTGAACCCCAATGCAAGCTTTTCAGCATCATCGGCATCTGCCTGCGTGCAAGCCTTGATTTTCTTACCGCCGAAAAGCCATTCATCATAGAAGAAGGGAGTTTCAATCGCTCGATCTATCACTATTCTCTTTAACCCCACGAAATACTCCATAATATACTCAACGAGCTGGCAGTCCATTTCATAGCCCCTGAATCCAACAATCTCCACAACTTTGATGCTTTCACGAGTCATTTTAGTATGCACTACGTCTTGATCGCAGAACTCAAAGGCACACCTACTTGTGTGCAGCTGCAGCATCCACAACCACGCCCCACCAAAACACAATGAAATCCCAATTAAACCAAGAGAGAAAGCAAGCAAGCAGAAAAGATATAGTAATTTCGTTGGAGAAACTTACAAACACTTGCAGAGTGTGCAAACGAGGACAAGCATTGACCAAAGGGATCAACTCAACGAGGCTACGATTGCCCCCTCCGTTAACCTGGATCATCAACCGCTCGAGATGTGGGTGTTCAGCCACATGTGAGAGCAGCTTGCCCAACTACAACACACAAACAACACCATATGTGTAATATATGTATAGCAACCAACAATCAATCAACACCCACATAAAAGAACTAATTCCTCTTCTATATTATCGCCTACTTACTATAGAATTGGTCTTCAGCAAAAGGGACTTCAATTGACTAGCACATCCAGAAAACGCTTCAAATGCAAAATTGTATCTACTGTGTAAACCTAAGTTCAAATCCACGAGACCCGGGCAGTTACCCACTCGCAATTCTTCCATACGAAGACATTCATCATATATTAAGCGGACGAGGCAAGGAGTATGATCAATCTCCAAGGATTTCAGATAATCGAGGTATCTTAATTCCAAGTACTTCAATCGGAGTGGTGATTGAGATGAACCCACAACCCTGAGCTTTTTCAGGGAATTTGACGCTCGGGCAACAGCTAACTCTTCAAGTAAGGGGCAACTAGAAATGAAATGTTCAAGGATGTCGGTCCGGACTGCCACACAATTCAGACGCAAGGATCTGAGGGACTTGACATCTGACAGCCCATCTGGAGTCTTGATGTGATTGTAACACGCCTCTGAGAAAACATACAGCTTTCTTGTATCCCCTTTACAGCGCACATAGAAGGTTAGATCAAGACATTCAACTCTCTTTGATATTGCATACTCCACCCATCTATCTATATCCCCGTCATAATTGGATGGATTAGTCAAGGTAAATCCAACTCGGAACTTTGTATGCTTTGTGGCCCTGTTGTGCTGCTGTAGCTGCCTCACTACCCCATTCACCGCATTCTTGTACCACATCCTGTATTTTACCATTGCATGATCGTCAAAAATAATCCACCCATTGTATATATCTAGCAGCTCCTTTTCGGCTTCGAAGTCCAGCGCCAAATTGGCTGATTTCCACAAATCTCTCCACCTACCAGAGAGGACTGAAGTTCTAATAGCTTCCTTGAGGTTCAAGAAGGACAGCAGGTGGATAACAACATCATCAGGCAACTTACTAGTCAAATCCAATTCATGTTCCTAAACAGACAAACAAAACCTCAAATCAACCCAAGTTTTAACCTTTTTCCCTTCCACCGGTAAGGGTTGAACATGAAATACATAAAAATATATATCTTACTTCCAGTTCGGTAAGCAGAAAGGCGGAAGTCATTGTTTTCTCAATGCCATCTACGCCTTTTTCTTCTTCTTCCTGGAGAAAAGTCAGTATGCAAGCCGAAAGTTGGGGTTTTTATCCCTAATAACTCCTATAAGAACGAAATAGAAGAGAAGAACCCAATTTAAAGATGAGAAACTTACTCTCCCTTGTTGTGTCAAGCCAGCAGAGTCCGGCAGAGCTTTTAGGGCCGCTCTGAATTTCTGTCTATAAGATCGGAATAATTTGGTGATCATCTGAATAGGTGTAATCATCAAAGGACTTTCCGAGACAGTATCCTAATATTTTCCCTCGCTTCCTTACCTGTCAAAATAGAGAGAGAAAGAAGAATTTAAGAGAGAGGGTGAACGAACAATGAGGTATATGGAACTGGAAGACAGGAAGCTGATGTAACCACCATAAAAATAAAGCCCAAGTTGAATCTCAGCGGAACAATTGTCAATTGGTCTATGAAGTGGGAAGCTCAGAAGTCCTAAAACGTGTTTGGTTTGGAAACCTGAATTTACCAACTCACCCTTTTAATGTCTCCTATCCTTGGTAATTTCTTTTTTTTTTTTTTTTGATAGGAAATCTGGCAGGATAAATTAAAAATTCAGTTCTGTACAGTGGGCCCACGTCCCATCTCAGTCTCAATTAAGCAACTTAACATCGCAGGGGGATCGTCGACCCAGACCATTTGATGGTCCCAACCTGACCCAGAATGAGCCAACCAGTGAGCCAAATAGTTGTTCTTCCTTGGCGTGAACACCCAGCGAATCTTGCAACCCGAGAGAGCAGTGGCGGATCCAGGGCTAGGCCAATCCAGGCCCCGGCCCAGCCCTCCTCCGGATCCAGAATTAGTTTAGTGCTTATAAATTTTTTCGATTTAGATATTTGACCCAATGCTATTTAAAATAATGTCTAGTTTTATTAGATAATAGGATGTTGTGTAACTAGGAAAATGGTTCAGATGAACATATCCAAACCATTACTCTAAATTTATACTAAATTTTCTATAGAGTGGGGCACTAGATTCTAACCGTTCTTTCTGGTGTTTAGATGAATAAAATATTTACTAAATTGCTCAAGAGTTTAGCCTCGAGACTTTGAAGGCTATGAGATGCATTCTTTGGATAATGCACTACTCATGTGAGGAAGATGAAGTTTCTTCTCTTGCAAAATTATTAGAGAAGCTGGAGGAAACAGAGATGGACACACAATACAAATTGATTTGTTGGTTAATTTGTCTAGTGTTGACCTAGTCGTTTCAACAACTACCATGGAGAGAATATTTTCAGCAATGGAACATGAACATTGATTTGTGCAACAAAATGAGAGATGAATTTCTCGTTGATTACTTAGCTATTTTCTTTGAAAAAGAGTATATTATCAGTATGGATGGAGATTATATTATTGATGAATTTGCTAAATTAAAAAACCTTCTTATATAATTGGCATTGTAATGAAAACTATATCATTATATATTTTTGTTTATAATATCTAATATTCTATTCAAATGCGGCCCAGTGCTCTCTTATGTCCTGGATTCGCCGCTGCGAGAGAGCTTCATTCACCGACGCAATCTTCTTCAGTTCATCACACCAGATACCCAGCTCTGTAAAATCACTCTCCCCGCTCTTCAACAGATTAATCAGCACCTGGCAATCAGACTCAACAATTAGTGAGCTGAGGGATCTCCGATTTGCTTCCCGAAGACCCATCATCATCGCCTTCGCCTCCCCTTCCACTGGCCGACATAGGCCTCTTTCTTTCTTCACCATCGCTCCCACAAACTGTCCATGGTAATTTCTAGCGCATCTATCCTTGGTGAATTTTACAATGCTATATAGGATTTTATTTTTATGGTGAATTTTACAATGCTGAATTTACCAACTCACCCTTTAAATTGTCAATTGTTGTAGGATTTTATTTTGGAAAATTTTTCCGTCCAACCCTGGTTGGAGCTACTAGCTTCAACCAGCCAAATGGCAGAATACTATTGGTTATTCCACCCCTTTTTTCCCCTTTATTTTTAATGCTTATATTATTGCTTCAAAATTAATAAAATCAAAACCAAATCTGACGGCAGCATAATTTTGACGGAACGGGGGTTTTGACGGAACGGCAGCATAATTTAATTAGGTTATAGTTTTGGATTCAGCGTTTCTCCAATCGTGAACGAAGAAGCAGAAGGCGCACAAATAACATCAATATTTAACTTTTGTACTCATAAAATAAATAATAAAATAATTTTTATTAATTAAATTCACTAAAATAAGGTCATTTTACTTAGAGATTCGTATATCGATCATGCCGGTCATACCGATGATGTCACGCCGGTTTTATGACTGGTACCGATCGAACCAAGTACAACCGGTGGCACGCCGACCGACGTAACAACCATGCTTTGCACTGTACCAAAATTGATGGATTAATTGATTTTACTAAGCATGACAAAATAACACTTCTTCCTCGTTCATAGCAAATTCAAGGATTGGAAGCAGAGCAATTAGCCAATCAATGAATAGGCATGACCTAGCTCATTTGAAGGTCCAGTGAATTCTAAAATAAACCAGAGATACCACTGCAGCTTTTGATTCCAATGATCAAATACACAAACATATATATTACAGCTGTGCGGCTTTATGTTGCCGTTCCGTCAAAACCCCGTTCCGTCAAAATTATGCTGCCGTCAGATTGTATTTTGATTTTATTAATTTTAAAGCAATAATATAAACATTAAAAATAAAGGGGAAAAAAGGGGTGGAAGAACCAATAGTATTCTGCCATTTGGCTGGTTGAAGCTAGTAGCTCCAACCAGGGTTGGACGTAAAAATTTTCCTTTTATTTTTATGGTACAACTTTAATCTATACTTATACTCTTTTATACAAATTCTTTTATGGTCTTTATGTGATGGTACAATTTCAAGTTGTATCATAAAATAAGGGTACAAATTCTATTATGTTACAACTTGAACTTATACATTTAATGTTATGGTACAACTTCAAGTTGTACATTGAAGCACCAATGCTTTATAGCATAGTAGAAGTTATAGGTGTCAAAACAGAACCCGACCCGACTAACCCGTCCGACTAACCCGACCCGCAACCCGACCGCAACCTGATTTGACTAAAAGTCAATAATCCACAACCCGCCCGACCCGCAACCCGATTGACCCGAGACCAATTAACCCGTAACCCGACTAGCCCGCAACCCGATTAATCCGAACCCGATTAACTTACAACCCAATTAAACCCGCAACCCGATTGGCCCGAACCCGATTGACCCGTCCCGACTAACCCGTAACCCGCCCGATTGACCCGAATAATTACTATATTATATATTATAGTCTTTTAAAATGAGAATGTTTGATCTAACTAATTCTTAAATGAGAGTTCTTTTTCCTACTGCTATTACCTTCATATCTTGCAGTGCCTTCTCAACCACAGTTCCTAGGCAACTTGGATTAGCTAATTAGTGTTCAATAGATTATCAACCACATGTTTCATAATCTTTGTGGAAATTAAATACTTCTCAACCACATGGCTACTGCCTTTTTACATCAATGGCCTTTCTTCTGGCGGCAAATCTCCCTATTGCAGAAGGGGTTCTCTAGTGGCAACACATTCATATCAAATAGTTGCTGGAAGAAAATATGAACAACAAATAGATAAGATGGCTGCAAAGGGAGAAAGTATACTCATAAAGCAATCGAAATAAAGGGATGGACGCCAATACTAACCCGTACCTGAAACTAACCCCTACCTTTGTAAGCTTTACTTAATCTTTAGACTGAAACTAACCCCTACCTGAAATAAGAACCAATCACAAGTCATTGCCCTCTTCTCACTATAATTCAGTTGCAACAGCTGGTCACTATCATGGTTTCCCAAGCTCAATTCAACCGAATAAAGATTACAACTCTGCAAAAGAAGTTTCCTTCTTTCAGCTGCAGCTGCAGTTTAGAAAAGAGAGAACCATGAATCAGACAGCCAGAGAATTTATTTCTGGTACATATGAAAGAAATTCTAAAGCCATAATTCATTTATATCCTGAAGTGGCAGATTAAACACTAAACTAAAAAACGTAATAAGGCAATCTTTCATGTATCTGTTATCTATACAAAGCAAGACACCTGGACTGATTCAATGGAAAACTAATGAATGACCAGCAGGAGAAGGATGAAAAAGCACATGTCTTTATAGCCTAAGTAGTGAGAAGCACATGTCTTTAAAGGACAAGAGTTGCTAGTTGTTCTATTCTTGTAGTTTCAGCTAAAAAAACTCCAAAGAGGAAATTAACAAGACCATCTAAGATAGTTAACCAGAGAGGAAGGGTTCATTATGCTAAATGAAACTCACCAATTCAACTTCTCATCCAATATTTAAATGTTGTACTGATCACCAAAATTTAAGCAAACCACCCCATAGAATGCAGACCAAATGTCAATACCTTGTATCTCTGAAAAGTGTTAGCCAGGGGAGAATCGTAAGTAAACAATATATTCTCTTCTCCACCCTTGGTTCATGCACAGACTCATCATCTTGTACCTCTTCTCACACCTGGACAGATTCATAAATAAGCAGCCTTAAGCCCATTTACAATCAGATATCCCAACTTTCCAACTCACAAGCATCATTCATCTAAGAAAAATGTAAAATGCTACTATAGCAACTCATAAAAGCAGAAAGTACAAGAGATCGACATGGAAGCAACATAGGTGCATAAAAATTCTAGGATGCGAACTCATGCATGCATATCTAGTAGTTCCAGTCAAATGGGTGTTGTACAACAATGAAAACAAATACATTAGCCATTTTCTACTCAACCTCATTACTTTTAGCATCTTGGTTTACTCCACGGAGGCCCTGCTCTGAAATCAATGACACAACATAATAAATTTGAAGGAGAAAAAGGAATTGAATGAATACCTTCATCCATTTCAAAGAGAAACCTGTGTTCCCTAAAAGCAAAGGGCTCCTCCCAACGTTTCTTTATCCTTTCAAAATCATTGAACGTTGGCACATAAACATTCGATTTGACGAGATATACCGATCCCTTCAAGGTTCAACTCATTATATCCAACTTTATAGCATTAAACTTCATTAAATTCAGAAAATCCTTCACAAATTACATACCTCTACTTACAGCTCAAGAACCCTAAGTCTTAGACGTCAGCGATCCATACCACCACCAGATCACCTCCACGTCTCTCCCCTTACTGTCGTCCGACTACCATGCTACCAGGCCGCCGCGTCAGTACCTTTCTCTCCAAACCGCCAGATCGTTGTCACCGTGAATCCCCCTTTGGGCTCTTCCGTCGTGGATCGATCTGCCACAGCAACCATGACCCATCTTGGTCGCGTTGCCGCACAGCTCGCTTCGCTACCGCTGCGCCACCACCCACCTTTTTCGTCGTCGGTCTGCAACGCAAGCCACAACATCCCTAATCGCCTACCAAACCGAGCCGCCAGTCCACCTCCAAACTTGCCGTTGTCGTTCTCGATCCTCGCCAGTCTACCTCCAAACTTGAAACCCTAACCATAAACCCCCTTGAAGAGCATGCTTCTTCATCGATCTGTTTCGCCATGGAAGAGGGCATCAGATGGATCTATCTAACTTGCTAAGAAAATAGGGTTTTGGCAGTAAGAGTTGGGGAAAGTTCGGGGAAATGGAAGGAACTAGTCGGGTGGAGAAAAAGGCAGGAAGAACAGTGAAAGCGCTAGAAAAAGTCAAGAGGCGAAAGGATTGGCTTTCTTTATTTCCCTTTAGATCTAGTTTTCTCCATCTAGTATGCTAATTTTTTCAATTCCATGGACCAAAAAAGTAGCGGGCAAAGCAAAATTATGGAGGCAGAGCAATTTTTTCGGGCAATGCAGATATTTTGGGAGCAAAAGCAGTTTTTGGGTGCCAAAAGTGGCGGGCAAAGCAAATATTTTGGAGCCAACACAATTTTTTGGGAGAAAGCAATAATTTTTGGAGCCAAAACCAATTTTTTGGGGGCAAAAAAAAAATTTGAGCTAAAGGAAACTCTCCCTCCTAAAATTTTAGAATAAATTTCTTATAAAATAAAATTGTTACATTATTCACCGGAATTTACCATGATTAACAATTAATCACGATAAATAAACACTCAAATACAGATAAATTAGTTACCGTGATTAGAACTATATGATCATATACGGGAACGTTTACTGTGACTATTAGCACACTTCTTAACACGGGAAAAATTACCATGAATAAGATCCCGTGACTAGAAATCGGTTTTCCTGTAGTGCAAGCTCAAACTATGAGGGCAGCTCACATCTTGCTTCTGTGTGTTTTTGGTTCGTCTTTGTCAGCAGCAACTCCCAGTTATAGTACCATAAGCTTGCTATTTGGAGCAGCAGCTTGGGACGAAGGCTTCTTTTGTACAGAACTGAAGGTCTTGGAATTAATGCTAGGAGCTCTTAATGTACAAAGCCTCGTTTAGAATGGTATTTACTTTCTATTTCATGTTGTGGTTGTGCTCAACATTTGTGCATCATGTTTGATTAGCCATATCCAAAGTACGTGGTTAGAGTACAAGGTATGTGGTGTAGAGTATAAGATATATGGTTAGGGTATAGCAATTAGCAAATATCACTTTTTATCTATGTTTTGAAAATCAACAACTCACAAGGACATATGGTTAGGGTATGTGGTTAGTGTATAATATATTGATGGTTTAGGGTATACAATCAACAACATATACTAACTTAATATTGTCGATGGAGGGTAAGGCTAAGTGTATAGGATATATGTTATTGAGTACGTTATGACTGAAGTCACAATAATTTTACTAAATTTGATAGTTAATCTTTGATGGTTCAATTTTTAGGATAATTCGAACAATTTTACAAATAACTCGTTTGGCAACAGTTTACTGAAGTTATTTGGGCAATGTTCAGTTATTTCGAAATAACTCATTTTATCACTATGCTTTTGCCAAATACCACACGCCAAATACCAAACTTGCATGGTTATACTAAACGAGGTACCTTAATCCAATTACTACTGAAATAATACTAAAATATCAAATAAACAATTAATGGTATCTTTTGGTTGCAATTATTGATATCACCATTACTATTAGCTAGTGTACTTTAGCAATTATGATTAATTACATAACAAGTTTGCAAGTCATGCAAATTGGTTTAGCATTTTGACTATTTTTTTTCAAAAAAATTAAGTATATATATATACACGAGGTTAAATTGGTTAAAGAGTTGAAAAAAAATATTTTAAATTAGTGTATAAAATGTGTAGGTTGGTAACGATTAATGAGTAAGTTACTCGATGCGCTGGCCCGAACAACCCGAAACCCGATCCGCCCGCAACCCGCCTGACCCAAAACCCGATGAACCCGCAACCCGATTTGCCCGCAACCCGATTGAACCCGAACCCGATAAACCCGCAACCCGACTAACCCGCAACCCGTTTGAACCCGAACCCGATGAACCCGAACCCGATGAACCCGCAACCCGACTAACCCGCAACCCGTTTGAACCTGAACCCGATTGAACCCAACCCGAACCCGCCCGAACCCGCCGATTGACACCTATTGTAGAAGTGCTCTCTAGTCTCTATCATTGGCCTACCCTATTTGTTGCTCCGCCCTTACTGCTCCCGCTCTAATTCGATCAATCCGATAATAATTCGTTGACTGGTATATGATTTCTTAAACATAAAAGCAGAGATTTTTTATGGGTGAATACCTTATTCTAGGCCGAACTATGACCATATAATCAACTTTGGCCCGTAGTTTAATAAATTAACATCTTGCCTCAATTATGCAGCATATAGACTTAATTGGCCCGACGCGTGGTTTGATAGTCTATTTGGATGATCAATGGCGTTGATCGTTAGTCAACTATCCATCTCACTGCCATGTGAGCACCAAACCTGAAAAAATTCAAAATACAAATTATTTTATTATTTCCTTTATATAATTAACAAAATTAAATAAATAATGAAAAAATCGAACCCAAAATAAATTCTGGCCACCCATTGGAATCCTAACCATCATTCTTCCCCTTCTTCCCCATCGCCAGCTCTGTTCTCTATTCTTAGAAAACCATTGGAACCAAATACATTAGCGAAAAATATTAAAACCCCAAGCTTGAAGATCCAAATTTCGATTGAAGTACCCTAGAAAATGGAATTTGAGAGAGACGTAGCAAGCACCTGAAAATGGTTGCTTCACTGAACTCATATCTGTAAAATGGTAATTTGCAATTATTACCATCAAAGCCCACCACAATCAACTCAAGAAGACAAGTTCATTACTTTGGCAGTTGGAACTAGTTTTCAAAACAACTATCACTTATCTACAATAAATATGTGAAGACAAAATAATAATGCATAAACTAAATGATGTTTATGAATTATAATAGACAAACACATCACATGGAGATTAATGCTCCATTATCATGGAGGGATCCACTTACAGCTACTAGTGGCTAGTGAAAGTCTTCAATTTGAATTATATATATGTATTGGACGTATGGAATGGGAGTAGTGTGTCAGAGAAGTGTGGGAAGTGAGAAAAAAGTAAAGGAAAAAAAAGAAAGGCACAAGTGTGCAGTGTATCCATTTTTCTGTAAGTGTTAAACATAAGCCAAAACTATAAGGCTATGTTTGTTTGAGTGTATTTCCAAAAGAGTGATTAAACACCAATTGTTTCCTTTGAGTTGATCCTAAATTACCATTACTTCCGCAAATACCCAACAAATTTGGTATCAGAGCTAATACCCTTCTATCTTCTAAAAAATCCCCAAATTTCTAGCCTACCCAATTTTCTCAAAAAGCCATGGCAACAAATTCATCACACACCATGTTTGCTACATCATCAAATCAAATTCCCATTTTTGATGGAGAATTGTACGAGTACTGGAGTGCCCAAATGGAGCCTATTTTCATCTCTCAAGATCTGTGGGATATCGTCCAAGAAGGCTACGAAGATCCACAAGACGAGGATGAAGATTCCAAGAAACGAGCAGGCAAACAGACAAAGGAGTACAAGGAGAATGCCAAGCAAAATGCCAGCGCCTTGAGAATAATTCAGCAAGCAGTGAGCAAATCGATTTACCCGAGAATCTATGGCATCAAAAAGGCCAAAGAAGCTTGGGATGTCTTGCGTGAACAATTTCAAGGTTCTGAAAAGGCAATCTCTATCAGGCGCCAAAGTTTATGGCGACAGTTCGACAACTTGATGATGAAGGAAACCGACACCATCAAAGACTTCCATTCACGTGTGGCGGAGACAGTCAACCAGATCAAAGCCACCGGTGACGTCATGGAAGAGAGGAAGGTCGTGGAGAGAATTCTCCGGAGCTTATCATCAAAGTTCGAGCATATTGTTGCTGTCATTGAAGAAACCAAAGATTTAGCAAATTTATCAATGAGCGAGTTGATGGGCTCACTTGTAGCACATGAGCAAAGAATGAGCCGATTCACCAAACCGCCATTGGAGCAGGCTTTCTCGTCAAAAGTCAACATGACAGAAAGTAAATATGCCAAATCGGAGCAAGGCCAGAGAGGGGGAAACTCACAAGGAAGAGGAAGAGGAAGATCCAATTACAGAGGAAACAACAGACAAAATTATCAACAACAAAGATCGGGCTACACCGGCTCGAGTTGCATAATTTGCAAAAAGGCAGGCCATGCAACAAAAGACTGTAGATTCAAGTGCACCAAGTGCAAAATTCAAAACCACTCCCAGAGAGATTGTTGGTTCCAGAACAAGCAAGAAGAAGGCGACTCAAGCGGCACAAAAAATGAAGAAAGCAATATGGTGGCCTTATCATGCTTGAATGGTGAGCAAAAATCACAGCTTCCCTGGATGGTGGATAGTGGTTGCAGTAACCACATGACTGGAGATCTGGAGTCCTTCACCGACATCGATGACCAATACCGCTCTCAAGTCAAGTTGGGAGATGGGAAGAAGCTAGAAGTGGAAGGAAAAGGCACAGTTGTTGTATGCACAGAAGAAGGCAACAAAACTCTCATTCGAGATGTTTTGTATGTGCGAGATTATCAACAAAGCAGACAATTTCATGGTGGCCAAAGTCTCGATGACTTCCAACAGAATTTTCTCTCTTGCTATGTCACAAAATGGTGAAGTAGCATTCAAGAGTGAAAATCTGGATCAATCCTTCCTATGGCATCTCAGATATGGTCATCTCAACTTCAAAGGTCTCAAATTATTGAGGCAGAAAAATATGGTGGTGGGACTTCCCCAGATCAACAGAGAAGACAAGATCTGCGAAGGATGCATTTATGGCAAAATGCATCGTTTACCATTTCCAAAGACATCTTGGAGAGCAAAAGCGCCACTGGAGTTGGTACATGCAGACATATGCGGTCCAACTCGAACACAATCACTCAGCGGTAAAAGATACTTTCTACTATTTGTAGATGACTTCACCAGAATGATGTGGATATTCTTTTTGGAACAAAAGTCGGAAGCTTTTCCCAAGTTCCTTCAATTCCAAACAGTAGCTGAGAAGGAAAGCGGCCATCAAATCAAAACTCTCCGTACAGATCGTGGAGGAGAATTTATTTATACTCCGTTCATGGAGTATTGCCGCAACAACGGAATCAAAAGGCAGCTGACGGTCCGTTACACACCACAACAAAATGGCGTGGCAGAACGGAAAAACCGCACGATTGTGGAGATGGCGAGAAGTGTGCTCAAAGCAAAAAAGCTACCCAACAATTTGTGGACAGAAGCAGTCAACACGACAATTTACATCCTCAACAGATCACCAACCAAAGCAGTTCGGAACAAGACACCGATACATACGTGGCACCACCGGAGGCCACAGGTGGATCACCTCAAAGTCTTTGGGTGTATAGCTTATGCACATATCTCTACCCCAAACCGAGACAAGTTTGACCAGAAGGGTGAGAAGCTGATTTTCACCGGCTACAGTGATGAATCCAAAGGCAATCGTCTTTACAACCCAGTAAAGAACGAGGTGGTGGTTTCCCGAGATGTGATCTTTGATGAGATGGCGGAGTGGAATTGGGAAAATCCAATTTCTCAATCTCCACCAAGTTATGAAATTCTGGAGGACTCAGCAACTCCAGAAGACCCCAGCAACGACCCAGATCCAGTTGCTAGTCCAGAAAGAAATTCTGCACCTAGCCCAGAAGGAGACAATTTCAGAGACGTCGTAACAGACTTGGATTCACCTCCGTTGAGAACAAGGTTTTTGCGAGAAATTTATGAAACAAGTCATGTTGCATACTTTTCTTGTGAACCTCAAGTCTTTGAAGAAGCATCCAAAGAAGAAGTTTGGAACGAGGCAATGGATGCAGAAATTTCCATGATCGAGAAAAACAAGACATGGGAGCTTGTTGATCAACCGGAGGGCAAGCCGGTTATAGGTCTCAGATGGATCTATAAAATCAAATTCAATGAAGATGGTTCTATCCAGAAGTACAAAGCTCGACTGGTGGCAAAGGGCTATTCACAACAGCCCGGTATTGATTTTCATGAGACATATGCACCAGTAGCGAGGATGGAGACCATCAGAACAGTTCTCGCTCTAGCTGCTCAACTGGAGTTACCAGTATACC